TGCTCCTCAGAAACCATATACAGGGTCACTATGAATGGGAACCGACTCAATGGCACTGAACAACAACAACATCATCATCAAGATTATATACTGGTCCACGATTACAGAAAAGAGTTTGAAAAGCTTTCCTTGGGCCCCTGGTCAGTATGCAGCCACCATCAGTCCTGTAAAGCAAATTTCTCTCCTTACAGGCAACTATTCTCAGTGTCCAAATCTATCCAGGGGGAAGGGACTGCTCACCAATGGGATCGCACTTCCATCTGCCCCGACCCTGACCAAAGCAGGTACAGTTCAGCATGTGTCCCTCTTCGTGACGTTTGTGGAAGGTGTCATTCACATTGTAAGTGATGTCGTCGACAATGCACTGATCTGTGTAGGAACGAAACAACAGGATGGATGGAAAGCATTTTAATGTTTCAGGGATGATATAAAATAAATTACTTTTTTCAAAATACTCAGTTGCTTCCACCTAATTATTAACACTCTTCTCTACGATAACATTTCTCCTGGCATAGAATAAACGCTGTTTCAAAACTTAGCAAGATAACCTTTGTAAAAAACAAAACAAAAAGCTCTCTTATCAAGTGTCAGAGGTTGAAGTATCTGCAACTGAAGAATTTAGTAAAATACACCTTCTCGTGAAAGGCCACTCTTTTTTCTTTACAGAATATATCCAGTCTTTTCTAGACATGAATCTAGTGGTGTGATCTAGAGCCAAAAGGATGAAATATTTGCGTTCTTGTCTTCAGAGTCATCTTTTTGGCTCAGTCTAAATACATACACCCTGAGAATGGTTCAGAATCTGTGCCAGCCGTTCTTAACTGGCAGCTTACGTTAGCTCCTCCAGCACAGTGGCCGGATGTAGTGGTACTGCGGTTTTCTTCTCCTGCCTTTGGCAAAGGACAGATTTTCACATCAAAGCCTGCCTCTTTGTAGCCTCTGCCCTGTCAGACGCCTTCACTGATCAGCAAGCATACCTCGGAGCTGGGAGTAGGCAACACACGTCCATTCCCCACGACCATTCCCAACACAGGTACACCTCATCATGTGACCCATGTCATGCTGCTTGTCCCACTGGTCTCCAATGCGGTACATGACCCCTTCGTTGGTCGTACAGATTTCCTCGTGAGCTGTTTGGAAACAGGTAAGATAGTGCATACTTGATGAAGGATCACAAAGTCTTAAGAATGTTTATAAGAAAGTCTTAAGAGTCTTGTGTGCTTCAAAGGACTTGAAGTGTTACTAAGTTTTGAGCCCCAGAGAAAGAAAACATAGAAAAGCAAGGGGTGTTGTAAGGAATAATTACAGGAAGGATTAGGATACACGTTCACACAAAGGGTGCACCTTGTTCTAGCAGCCTGGATTCTGATTGCTGCCCCATAACTTCTCCTAGTCCTAGCTTATTCTGGTTCAAAGAGCAACTGCATGGACGAGTATGGAATTACAAGCAACAATGTGCTTTCTTTCTACACCCAACATTCTCTTTCATTGAAATAAAAGTGTTAAGGGTTTAAATGCTTCACACAGGCTTGACAGTCCACAGAGAATGGGCTTTGGGTCTACAACTGGGAAATAAAATGCAATCTACTAGGTTCTTGAAATTGAAAGACACTGGTTTCTTTTTGTCCATCCATTCAAATGGTACAAATTTACGCCCTCCCCACCCTTCATTTTTAAAAAGAGAGTCCTTACTTGTCATAAAACATAGTTTGGGTCATTTGGGTATTTTGTAAGCGATAGAGCCAAAATGATGTGTCAAATGACCCAAGCCAAAATGATGTGTCAATATGGTAAGTCTGTGACTACAGCAGCTATATAGTTGTTCCAAGCTACTCAAAAATTGACATATTCAGACTTTTAAAAGTATTTTTATCACATTGAAAATATTTTTAGGAATCTGAGTAACACAAGAGGTTTGTGATCAGTTGCTAACCCAAAGATGGCTGTTTAAACTCTTCCAGCATCTCCACGGAAAAAAGGTCTGGAAAACTGATTTCATAAATTACAGCCAAGAAAACCCCATGTGCTACAGAGTAATTCTACACATGGGGTTGCCATGAGTTGGAACAAGCTTAACATCACCTAACAACAACAGCATATATTTTTTTCAACATTCATTTAAATGAGGTATTAAAGAACGTAGTGGTTACGAATCGGGCTGCGAACCTGAAGGTCAGCGGTTCGAAACTACCAGCTGTTCCGCGGGAGAAAGACGAGGCTTTCTACTCCTGTAAAGATTTACATCCTTGGAAACCCTGTACAGGGTCGCTATGGGTCGGAACCGACTCAACGGCACTTAACAACAACAACAACAAAGTTATATAAAGAATTATCAGCTGTTCCACAGGAGAAAGTGGAGGCTTTCTGCTCCTGTAAAGGTTTATAGCCTCGGAAACCCTGTGCAGGGTCACTATAAGTCGGAACCGACTCCACAGTACTTAACAACAACAACAAACATAATTATGTGTGTGTGTACATATACACATACGTGCATACACACATACACATATTACATAAAATTTTTTGAATGATATTTTCTTTGTTTACAATAAAGAACAAAGTCTTAATGGGAGAGACAGCATAAACTGGATGCTCGTCTTTGTCTGCCCCCTAACTGGTTGTCTATCAGGACTGCATCTTACCAGCCATGGGGCAGAATCCGAACTTCTGGTCAGCATCATAGTTCTGTGTGGTTCCACACCATTTCATGTTGTCCCTTCTACCCTCCGAAGTACAGTCGGTATAATTCTGGTTGTTGTACAGGAACGGGAAATGACACAAGGCACCATTGGAATTTCCCCCTCGAGTCTGAACCAAGGCTGCCCATACCAATGTAAAAACAGAAGAAATCAGATTACAACTGACCTTTCCAGTGTACAGAAGCAACTTACTAAAGAAAAGTCCCGAGTTAAGTCCTTGAAGCTAATTGGCAGAGTCTATGCCAAAATAAAAGAGGTGTGATGATAAAATTCTAAGCTTCCACCTTCACCTTCAAAATAGATTTAAATCCTTTTTTTATTTCCCCAGTCAAGTAAATAAATGATAGCTTCGAAGAAAACATAATTCCAACCAGAAGATAAGCAAATCCAATCAGGCATCTACCCTGGGAGTGCTTCAGACCTGTGGGATTTCCCACTGATGTTAAGTGTCTTTAATCACATCATAATTCCAATGTGTCAGAATAAATGAATGGGAGGCTTTTCCCATTGGTGTCATTTCCCAAAGGGCCTGGGGAACTTGGAAGGATCCCTATAGCTAAGCTGACACTACGTCCCTTGGATCCTACACTGCTGTGAACAAAAGGAAATCTCTTGTGGTGTGACCCCCTTGAATGGCTAGATAGTTAGCAAATAAGAAGAGAAATGGTTTTCCCTAGTGTTCTGCTTCCCCCTGGGAACACTCACCATTATGGTCTGTACAGAACGAGTATTTCTGGTCTTGTTCATAATTGGAAGTGGTACTGCACCAGAGATGACCATCCTGACGCCCTTCTGTGGTGCAGGAGTAGAAAGTCCTGCCGTTGTAGGTGAATGGCAACACGCACGGATCCCCATTGGAATTGCCACCATAAGTTTGGCTTATCGCTGCAAGTACAATCCAAAGAGTTTCAGGAAACAGAGCTCTATTTATCTCCCACCAGCAGCTGCTCATTTAGAGCTTAAATGAAACTGAGCTTGTGCCCTCACAGGAAAAAGCTGAAAGCAGAGATGGTCATCGGGCTAATTTCAGACAAAATGTGTTTCTCAGAAATTCATGGTTTTTTGTAGATACAACATTTTAGTTTTGTTGACATCTTTTTGTATTGCCTCTGGTACCATGCCTAGTTCTCCACTTGTAAAGCTATATTAACAGAGATAAATTAAACTATCTGTGCCATAATAAATAATTCATTAGAATATTCTAGAGGAAAATTCAACTGTACCAATTATCAATGCTGTAACTACTATTACTTTAGCAGCCCAGAAGTGATGCATGAGGCGACTAAAAGTTTACATCACTTGTTGTTGTTGTTGTTGTCAGGTGCCATCGAGTCGGAACCGACTCATAGCGACCCTATGCACAGCAGAACGAAACAATGTTCGATCCTGGGCCAACCTCACTACCGCTGCCACACCCGAGTCCATCAATGATGCCACCTGGCTGATCCATCTCATTGGGGGTCTTCCTCTTTTTCTCTGACCCTCCACCCTACCCAGCATGACATCCTTCTCCAGCGATTGTTTCCTCCGGACAATATGTCCAAAGTAGGAGAGACGAAGTTTAGCCATCCTGGCCTCCAAGGAGCACTCTAAGCTCCTGAAATTTAATATTTAGAGCATATAATACAGACAATGGGCTCTTCAGAAAGCAACCCTGTGTAACAACATTTCAGAAGCAATGAAGAGAATACATAGCTGTTTAATGTTCACTTTGGGAAAGAAAAGGATCCCTGGTGATGCAGTTGCTTAAGTACCTGGGAATGAACTAAAAGGTTGGCGGTTCAAACCCACCCGCTATTCCAAAGGAGAAAGACGTGACAGTTTGCTTTTGTAAAGATATTACAACCTTGGAAAAGCTCTGGGAATTTCTACTGCGCCCCATAAGGGCTGTTATGAGCCAGAATGAATTTGACAGCAATAAGTTTGTTATTTTGTTTTGGATGAGAATAGAAATGCATAGATTGAAAAGAATGGGGGAAAAAAACACCCAAAACACATCAAATGCCAGTTCTTGTTATCTCAACGTATGAGACTATCAGCTTTTCTTATTTGTAAATGATTAAATTGCCTTTTAAATAGTAAAAATGTCACCAATATGATTTCTTTAAAATGTAACACATACTCGTCTCTTGGCAGCTGATTCCATTGCCCAGGCAAGTGCAAAGCATTTGCTTGTTCCCTTGGGTCTTCAGCCACTGCATCCCTACAGAATAAACCACGCCACTGTCTGCGACACAGTGGCCATAGGGAGCGGGTTGGGGGTGAGGCTGGGGCTGGTAAATGGCTGTCCGGACATCTGCGAAGGAGCCAGATCCTAAGGGTAAGAGAACAGACAGTCACACAACTGTACAAGAGAAGACAGCAGCTCAGGGTCATACAGACCCTCCCATTCTGTGTTAGCTTTGTATCCAGTTTAGGAAACAGTTCCCCAAAATCTGCCACATGTTTCCATCTTCCATTTTTTCAAAACACAGACATTACTTTGTTACTCAATAGAGCTGCCACCTTCAATAATTCTTTACTTCAGGAAGCGCATGATGTTCACCTCCATCATCTTTCACACTTCCTTCCGGACTCATTTCTGACAACTGTGCCTCAGCTTCTGTGAGTCATTTATGCATGTACCCTGTGCCAGGCTTCTGTGCTAGCCTCATGCTTTCCCTTTTGGCTGGAATGGTCTGCCTTACCCTTCATAACAGCTTTCATAAGCTCAATATATCTGGGTATTAGTCTTCTCGACACTTTTTAGAAGTCCCTGACACTCGCCAGCAGTCTTAGTCAGTGTCTTTGTAACTCTCAGTTCATCAGAGGGGGCTCTAGGCAGCCATATTGACTTCATGAGAAGTCTAGTCTCTTGGTGCCTTGTTCCTCCTCAGAATTATTTATGACTCTGTTGCATTTTATCAGATTCCAGTCCTCTTAGGTTTTTGGATGTGAATAAAAGTGCACAGATTAAAACAACTGAGAGAGGAAAAACACCCCACATCAACTGCCAGTCCTCCTTGTTATCTATCTCAAGGAGGTACGACCATAAGCAGTTAAGACATTTTTCCTTCTAGAATAACACAACAGAATGTTGACCTTTTCTTTGCATTTTTGAAAATTTGTTCTCTTGAAGTTCAGGATCCCTGATGGAGCAGAGTCATTACTGATGACTTCACTGAATCCAGTTTGTAATTACTACAAAACACTAGGACCCAAAGATACTTCATAGACAAGGAATCCCAAGGTCAAATGCCTATATCCAACCCCCACCCCAACTTAGAGAGTCACAATCCAAAGGATCATAAAGACCTTGGAGAGTTAAGTTCCATTTGGTTTAAACCAGTATTCCCCAAGTTTTTTTGATGACTAAAACCTTTTCCAGAAAAATTAAAATGTACTTTGGAAAACAGACACGTAATATATATATTGCAGGAGAAAGATGAAGCTTTCTGGTCCCAGAAAGGTTGATAGCCTCAGAAACCCAATACAGGGTCACTATGAGTCGGAACCGACTTCACAGTACACTGTCACCACCACCATCAATATATAGATTGAGTCTTGGTGACCCAGTGGATAAATGCTGCTAACTGGAAGGCTGGCATTTTGAATTCACCCAGTGGCTCTATGCTAGAAACACCTAGAGATCTGCTCCCCTAAAGTTTATATGGGGTGCTCCTACTCTGTCATAGAGGTTAACTATGAGTTAATAGCCACTTGATGGCCCCTAACAACAACAACAATATATTTATATAATATATATAATTGAGTAGGTCTTTTAACATTATCATTTATTTAAACTCCATTTTTATCTCTTGGGGCTAAAAGTTACTTCCCCTCTATCAAATCCATTTCCATTTCATTTACAAATTTTTATCCACAATTTGGCATTCTATAAGTTTTAACCACTAATAATCTGTAAAAAAAATCGTCACGGCAAATCATCTTCAAATAGCACATTAAAAGAATGAGAGTCCCAGGAATGGTTTTCAAAACACTTCTTCCCCATTCCTGTGTAGATTGCCGCACGCCTCACCGGTGGAGGTGGTCTGTGCAGACGCGTGCCGTTCACACTTCCACTCCCCTCTGCCATTGCCTGTGCAGATGCACTGGAGTAGGTTTCCCCGATTATCCTTCTTGCTCCACGTGTCTCCAATCCTATAGGATGTCCTAGTGTCCTGATCATTGCATCTGTCTGTTTCGGGAATGAAGCATTTAAATAGGTGAGTCCAGTCACGTTTGGCAAGTGCTCAACTCAAACCTAAGGAGCAGTAGAGTACTCGAGTGCCTGATAACCCATCGTGGGCGTAATATTTATTTAGCAGCAGTGCTGCAGGTCCCAAACTTCTGAAAGATGGGATTGCGTTTGTTAACGTGCGAAGGGAGTTGTATAATTGAGTTGATTTGCGCTCCTCTGCTGGCCATTTAGTTTATCTTGTTCCACTTCTCTGGGTGCTCAAGGCCTGTTCCACTAGCTTCCTCTCCTTTTTCCAAAGTTTTTGCACTTATCATTTGAGCAAATTCATTCTGCTTCTTTCTCAGGCTCTCTCTGGCTTTCTTCCAGAAATTATGGCTAAAGCCTGCCTTTCAATAGGGAACTCTGTATAGAAAACTAGAAATAATAATAGCAAACAGGTCTCCAAGGGTCTTCCCAGTTGCCTCTTATCTAAGAGAACAGTACTTCTTTCTCCATTTGTTATGTAAAAAAATTAAGAAGACCCCCAAATCAAAGCTCAGGAGGGGCAGGAAAGAAGGACAAATGGAAACAGGGGGACTCAGGGAAGAGGTGGGGAGAGGGTGGTTACATCCAGAGGATTGTAGCCAATGTCATGAAACAAAATGTGTAGAAATGGTTTAAGAGGAAACTAATTTGCTCTTTTAAACTTTCACCTCAACTACAATTGAAAGAAAAAAAAAAGTCTCAAGTTAGCATTAACGCCTGTATCATATCCAGGTTGTATGGCTCCAGCATCCACATGAATAACCAAGGACCAAAAGGCAAATCATAAATGAAAATAGAGAAATTTTGATTTGCTCAAATACAATGGCTACATATTGACCCAGGCATTGGAATTTTCATCTTAAGTTGTATAATCAATTGACTAAGTCATGGGAGGAACATATGCATTGAATTTAGGTATTTAAGAGATATTAAATAATGTTTCAGTTATTAAAAAACATCTAAAAACTGGCAACTCCTTAGCCTACAGTTGTCTCTTCTCACTCCCCTGACAACACCTATTTAAAAATCACTAATAAAACAGCTTTTTTAATTGTTCCATTTTTAAATGGAAAAGTGGTATTATTAATAATGTAAATGCTAATTTGTAACTTGATTATCATTAGTCTGTGTGATTAACTATCTAGCACATTGATCATTTAGATTATACACCTTTGCCCACATGATACAATGGGAGCATAGAAGATTTGCCTTGTGAATCAGATAATCACTGCTGCTTGCTTTAAGATATTGTAACTTGTTTCTCTAATTATTGATTTAGAGAAAAATGGACTGATACCTTTTTATCATTTCTTTGGAGACAACTAAGGGAGATTCTGACACAAAAACATACACAGACATCTGATCTACCAAAGAGCGCAAGAGCATGTTGCTGGTTACAGTCTGCCCCACAGTCTCCAGCTAACACTATTACTTTCTTCCCCAGAACCTCCACAGCACTGTTTTCATGATTTCTCTGGAAGCCCTTTCTGTAGATCATAAATATGTATGAGTCTTTTTCTCATTTCCCCAAACTACTAAGTGCTCTTGGAAGGCTGAGCGAATTTTCAAATCATTATCACGTGACTCTATCCCCTTCTACAAAGTGAGTGCTTACAAAATTGTGTGGAGTAAACGACTTTTCTTAAATAACTTTTTCTCAGTTTTCTATTAGAAGAGTCTTAAATAATAAATAAGAGTCTGAGTTGGACATCTAAGTTAAATATTACCATGAAGGTCTGATAATGTAAATGGTCTAATGAACTATTGAATGTCTAGGAAAAATTTGGTCAGAATTGTTATCATTTTCCACAAGAGACTCAGAAAGCATTACAAAAGCATTGCATGAGTTTGTTGTTGTTAGAAAAGGATTCAAATTTGGATAATGAATATTTGAAGATCTAAAATGTTTCCAGCTAGATAAATAAAATAGATTTAAAATATTTAGACTAGACTTGAAATTATTTTAAACACCAAATATGGAGTCCTGGTGTGGCACTGTAGGATAAGCACTGCAAGGTTGGTGGTTCAAACCCAACTGCTGCTCCTTGGAAACCCTATATAGAGCCAGAACTGATTCAATGGCACTTAACAACAACAATCCTTGCTGGTTATGTTGCTTCAAGAATTTATTTGAAAATTGAAGGAAGACTTGATGACAATCTTAGATGAAGCAGAAAAAATGCTCAAAGCCAGGTTCCTTATAAGCACTTAATACGACTGTACAGAAATTTTGAATAAAAAGCATAGTTCTCATATCCAGAGCAGGCGAGTCATTTTAACTTACGAAATAAACATATTTTGCTTATGAACTTGCCTTATTTCAAACACATAAGGAAACTCAGTATTTTTGAGGCTAGCTCAATTCCATGTCTATAACACTAGTGAGCCCAGAAATGCATTTCCACTAGATGTGCCTAGCTACCACTACCAACTGCTCTGAAAGGGATCACAGTATAAGATCTCAGAGTGGGAAAAAAGATGGAACAAAACTCAATAAAATATCAATGAAAATAAAACAGGCCAAAGCTATACAGGGTCACTATGAGTCTGAACAAACTCCATAGCACTTAATAACAACAACAATTGGTCTGAAAAAGACTAGAGCAACCTGAGACTATAGCCCTTGGCCGCCCTTCATGTCTGGAACGGAACTCACCCTTGTGGCCCCATTTTCAGCCAAGCGGTAGATAACTGTATAGCAGGGACAACACTAGTAAGATATGCTCACCATGGAATGGTTAACCATTCAAGATTGTTGTTGTTGTTGTTAAATGCCGTCGAGTCGGTTCCAACCCATAGCGACCCTGTACAGGGTTTCCGAGGGTGTAAATCTTTACGGGAGTAGAAAGCCTCATCTGCGGCTGGTAGTTTCGAACTGCTGACCTTAAGGTTCGCAGCCCAATTCGTAACCACTAAGCTGGACAAAGTTGAGAAGAGTTGGGAGGGAGGGTGGAATGGAAATAGGACCCACAGGAAGAAGTGGGCTAAGTGATTTTTCATGGAGGGGAATGCAATCATTGAGATGAAACAAAGTGGATTTGTTGAATGTAAAACTAATGATCTGTGTAAACCTTCACTCAATTCAACAAAAAGTTTCAAAAACAAAAAACAAACAAGAAAAGATTCATTCCCAAGCTATTTGAATGATTTTTTTGCTCTTAATACTTCAAGTTCAGACACATTTGACATTTGAATAAATACTAAGTTTCTTTAATAGGTTAAAACCTTATTAAATTAAACTTCTTTGTTGTTTTAATGTTGTTTTCTCCAAGAAGCAAAACAAGTTGATTATGGAATTTTTCTTGACATCCAAATGACAAAAGCACATTGGAGTGGGCTCTAACACACACACACACACACACACACACACACACACACTGGGTGTGTTCTAAGTGACATTGCATTCCCTTGCATTCCGTGTCTCACTAGGAATGGAGAAAATACTGCCTAACATACCTAACACAATGTCTACCATAAAGACCTAAAACGTACTTCGAGAGGTACAAGTGATGCGCCCGTTGCCTTCTCCCAGACAAGTGCAATCCACCATCATCCAGCCTTGATAGGGCTTTTCCCAGGTTTCCCCAACAACATAGGAAGTGCCAGCAGCATGGTCAAAACACTTCTCCGCTATAGGAAAATTGGAAGGAGAAACATAAAACAAAAAAATCAAAGTTATTTTGAATTGTGCAGTCTCCCTGTAATTTAAAGGGCCGTGTGTAAGCAAATATCCTGCCACTTTTTTTTTTTTAAGTGGCACTCTCTTCAAAAAGAAAGACACGCCCTGTAAGTAAGCACATAGTAAGTAACCAAAGTACCAGAGAGCCCCAGCCGAGCTGGCAGGCAGAAATCTGTTCTCCTAATAAGTACATGAACTGAATAGCTTCAGTACCAAACTTCATACCAGCATTTTCAGTGACAAGAATGTATGTATGTACACAATCTGTGGGAAGAATGACTGCAAAATTCCAGACTTAAGGATGAATGACCATTGCCTAACATGATAAGAAAATGATTTACAAGTTGGATTTCTGTAAAAACCAAAACTAAATCAAACCCCAAACCTCTGTATTAAAGAACCAGACATAAATGGGGTAAAGTTTCAGCTAGAAATTCCTGGACTAGTACCTGCAGAGTTCAGCTGAGGGTGGAAACTTAAGGAAGCACATGCTTTATCTTGTGAGAAATTGTCAAGGTACAACAGAGCACATTTTATGTTTCAGTCTAGTGCATTCTATAAAGAAATCTGTCTCTCTCTCTCTCTCTCTCTCTCTCTCTCTCTTTTTTTTCTTTTAAATAATCTGTATGTTGTCCAAGAAGAAAACTGAGATCAGATATTGGACAAAGCAAATGCCTTCTTCCTAAATCTCTCAACCTTATCGTATGCTTTTGAAATGAAATACATGGTTTGTAGGAGTTCCTGGAGAGCACAAACGGTAATGTGCTTACTTACTAACCAAAAGGTTGACAATTGCCATCCACCCAGAGGTGCCTCTTGAAGAAAGACCTGGCAATCGACTTCTAAAAGGTCAGAAACATTGAAAACTCTATGGAGTGCATTTCCACTCTCACACACATGGGGGCGCCATGAGTTGGAACCAACTTATTGGCAATGGGTCTGCTTTTTAGTTTGACCTGTTGTTAATACTTTAAAAACTAGTTCCTTCAAAAAAAAAAAATACAGTATATAATATTTCATTGCCAAAAATGAAATTACCATTTCTAATTGAAATTCAGATCTCTTATCTGATTTTGAGTCAACCCAATATGATAAATATGTGTCCCCATAACCTACCCACACCTAAGAAGTCAACACACCTATGGGCTTGCAGGTCCATTCTCCTTTGCCATTACCAAGGCACACACACTCTAGCATGTAACCTCCGGTCTCATGTGGTCTCCTCCAAGTGTCACCAATCTTGTAGGACTGGCCACCTTCATGACATCGGTCTGTTCAGGATAAAAAACACATGTTAGGAGAAAGTCCTGGTGTGGTGCTGTAGGATAAGCACTGGACTGTGAAGCTAGTGTGAATCACAAGATCAGAAGTTCAAACTCACCAGGTGTTTCTCAGAAACTCTATACAGGGTTGCTGTTGTCGGAACTGACTCAACAGCATTTAACAACAACAACAAGAAGAAAGTGGAATGCAAAACATTAAAAGAAGTATTCTGTTCCATTCAGCCTGGATACTTAGGTTACCAAAAGTAGAGACAGAGAAAAGTTTTTGCCATCAGAGACAAGGGAAGACGTTCTCTGGCTTGGTCACTTTGAGTCATTTCAATTAAACATCTTGCAAACCCACAATAGGAAACCACAGAGAAATCTGAATGGCAAAGTCATAAACCCTGAGTCTCCAGAAAGTTCACAAGAACTTGTCCTAAAGCAGAAAAGAGGCTGGGAGGCATGGTCTCTACTTGCCATGGTAAGTTGAGCCTGAGACTAATTCAATGATGAGTTCACAGTGATAATGACACTCCTGTTTTCAGGAGTAGAAGAGCCTGTATTTTACTTGAGAGTAGAAATGTCGTTTTGGGTACAGCAAATACATATCATGTGTGGAAATCCTAATATTTTTCTAGACTGCTAATCAAATATAATGGCACATCCAAAGACTGAATTATCCCTAGATGGTGTGGCGTTGTGGGTTAATGCGCCAGACTGCAAAGCCATTTGAACTGCAAGGATGGCGGTTCAAGCTCGCCAGCTTCTCCTTGGAAACCCTATACAAGGTTGCTATGGGTCGAAACTGACTCAATGGCACTTAGCAACAACAACAACAACAACAGTAAACACTTGAGGTTTGCTAAGAAACCCTAACATTAAATATGGGGGAAGCAAATTGGTCCTATTCACAAGTGACTTGCTCTTTTGAACTGAAGCCATTAAAGTGATTCACATTTAAAGGATAATTTTTTAAAAAAGAAAGAAAACAGAATCCACTGGCAACCCTATGACTCATATTGGAAACACTGCCTTAGTGAAATTAGAATGGAAGAGAGTCTGCCCAGTCCCCACAGTGCCTGCCTTGGAGGCAATATTTGGCTAATCATTTCATATTTTTCCTGGGAACAGAGCGCTTTATTTGGGGTCTACCCTATGAGTCATTAAAGAAACTGGGCAGTTTTTGTGAGGTACAAGAGGTCCCTGTGTTGCAAAGAGAAGAGCAGACCACCCCCCCATGACTGTCTCCCTCTCCATGATCATCTCCCCAGTCACTGTAGATAACCGCATGATTAACTTGGCTTGAAGATGCCCAGGTAATTTCAAAAGAGTAGATTTCATTTCTTACTGGGATGGAACCTAAGATATCTACCTTGATACATGCTACACACACACATACACACTCCTAAATCCACAGATTAAACACTCATCCACCTGCACTTTGATCCACCTTATAGGAGCACAGGAACCAGCTGGGTAATCACAAAGAATACCTGCTCACCAGAGGTAAATACCCAAATTAAGGCTATACCTTCTTGAATAATAGTGACAGCTTTAGTCATAGAGAAATTCATATTTTTGACATTTTAGTGTCTCTTTGAGGAGTGTTGGTAGCACAGCAGTTAAGTGCTGGACTGTTGACAGAGAAGTCGATATTTCATCAGCTAATTCAAGGGAGACAGTCGCAGTTGGCTTCCTTCTTGGAGACTCTAGAGGACAGTTGTACTCTGTTCTATTGGGTCACTCTGAGTTGGACTCGGCTCAGGGACAGCAGGTTGGGTTTGGAGTTAGGAAGAAAGATAAAAGGGGTCTTTCTTACTTGCGATGGTGCAGCTTATTCTTCCTCGGCCAGCTCCAATACAAGTGCAGTCCCAGATCATGGAGTCTTTGGGGCGCTCGTAAGTGTCGCCCACCTTGTAAGTGTTCCCGGTGTATTTGTCAAAGCAGGTCTCTTCAGCTGAGGGGAAAAGGAGAGCCCATGAGAGACTCTCACATGTAAAAGCTCTTTAGTGCACTATGACCACCCAAAGGAAAACCCACTTTTTCATTTTAGGAGTGGTATCCTGGTGTGATGTAGTAGGATGAGTATTTGACTGATAACTGCAAGGTCAGCAGTTCAAACCTACCAGCTGCTCCTTGGAAATCATGTACAGGAAAGTTTCTATGAGTCAGAGCTGACTCAACAGCACTTAACAACAGCAACAACATGGTAGATAAAAGTTTAAAAAATTGAGACCTAGACTTTATCCTAGGTTCTTGCTACGTCTTAATTTTCAACCTTTGACAAATTCTCAAATTAGCTATAAATTAATCTCTAAAGAAAAACAGAAAATTGTTTTTACTTAGGAAATACCCATATAAAGCACTACATAGACTATAAACAGCTCGATTAAGAAAGGGTTTCAGATTCTGATCTCTGACACAGGAAGTCAAACAGGGTCCACAAAGAAATCAAACAGTTGGGAGGTGAACACCTCCTGTCAGGCACTACTCACACTTGTTAATTGTAATTCTTCCATTTTAGCCATATCAGAGCTTCTCTGTGGGAGTCACTATAATTTACAAGAAACCCATTCTAAAGGAATGCAAACTTTGTGATGGCTGACAAATCTCTGAATTACAGTGCCCAGAGTGTTTTCTGGCCCATCTCTTAGAGTTTAAGATTTGACATTGCTTTATTTAAATTTTAAATGATTTTACAAATTATTATATGTTTATGAAGATGCACATCTTAATGTTAATGTTATTAGAAAAATAGCGTAAGTGGTTATGGAATATGCACAAGGTTGGCAGTTCAAACCCACCAGCCTCTAAGCAAGAGAAAGATGACGCTTTCTGCTCCTGTAAAGATCTAGAGCCTCGGAAACCCTATACAAGGGTTGTTGTTGTTGTTGTTAAGTGCCGTCGAGTCGGTTCCGACCCATAGCGACCCTGTACAGGGTTTCCGAGGGTGTAAATCCTTACGGGAGTAGAAAGCCTCATCTTTCTCCCGCGGAGCGGCTGGTAGTTTCGAACCGCTGACCTTAAGGGGTTAGTCAGAATCTATCAATGACTGTGGGTTTTGTTTCATTTTTTTGGTGCGGTGCTGTGGATCAGCACTGGACTGCGAATCACAAGGTTGGTGGTTCAAACCCACCAGCCACTCCTATACAGGGTTGATATGAGTTGAAATGAGCTCCGTGACACATAACTCCACAGCACATCACTAGCTCCTGTAAAGATTTAGTCTCAGAAACCGTATTTAGATTTACTCTGAGTTGGAATCAACTTAATGGGAGTGGGTTTGGTTCTTTGGAATGCGGTTTAGTGCTACAGGATAAGCAATGGACCACAAGTTCGGTTTGAACCACAAGGTCGGTGGTTCACACCCACCAGCCGCTCCTTGGAAACCCTGTACAGGATTGCTGTGAGTTGGAACCGACTCAACGGCGCTTAACAAGAACAACAATAAATTTAAAAAGTTTGGCTAACATGCACCAATTCTCCATCTATTAAAAGATCCTCCCAGACACTTACGTTCAGGTTTACTCTCGCAGTTGAATCCTCGGCTCCCTCCATAACAGGTACAAACCAAAGCATTGCCTAGGTAGGTCCGCTCCCATTGTTGGTTTATCTGATAGTGTTTTCCATTGTCATAACAACCAGCTATAAATAATGGAAGGAAAATAATGTTAAATTTCCATCTCCTTTTTCCTCCAAATTAGGGACTTTTCTTACACAACTAAATTGATGAGCTTGAGCACCAAACTTAAAAAAAATTTAATTAATCATCAGAAGAGCAAGAGTGTTAAAAGCAATGTTACACTGAAACACAGAAACTCACTACGAAAAGTATCAGGCACCATTTGTACACATGGATGGATATTTAAGAATAGTTTTTTTTTTGTTTTTTTTTTAGCTCAGCTAAATGGTATACAATGATGTCATTTCCATCTGGTCAGAGGTCTACATCAAAGGAATGGGAACATTCTGAAAAGCAGATAATTGGATTTGCATTTTAAAACATGCAAAGAACTTTAATGCCATTCTAACAGTGAAAAAGGGCCACTTTAAGTTTCCATTAGCCAAGGCAAGGGGAGGGTGGTGTGTCTTTGAAGAGTGAGATGAGGAATTCCCATCTCTGTTTTTGATGAAGTATTCAGAGAGGTCCCAAAGACATCTCCAGCAATTACATCTCTTTCAAGTTAGTTGGGAGCAAAACCGTTATCTTGCTACCACAATTTGAAAAGAGATAATTATTTAGTAACAAGGAAAATAGATAACCGTGAGGACCAGATTAAATCCCAAATGGAACGTTTAAAAGCATGCATCCTTTTTTTTTTCCTTTAAAAGCAATACATTTAAGGGTCACATCTGAAGGTGTAGAATTGTTAAGAACACTGCAGGACAGCAGAGCTCTGTCCCACAAGTGTTATACTAATCCCAACCCTGCAAGCCAGCCTGCTCAAACCCAGTCACTAATGAAGAACCTTTTGTACCCGCAACTGGATTTTTCTCATTAAAGTACGCGTACACACGCTCAGGCGCGCACTCTAAACTTCTACCACAACTTTGGTTGGCTTTATGGTCCCATCCCTAAGACAGCCTCTTGATGCCCACGGGCGGTACTCACGCTTGTTTTGGCTAACAGCCACCGGGGCCTGGGGCTGAATGATTTGCTGAGCCTGCCTCTTGCTCTTGGAGGCTTCGGTGGAAGGCACCGCTGACCCTAGGCACAGGACGGCCAGCAGCAGCAGCCCGGGCCCCGGACCCCTGCGCATCATGACAGGGGGTGGGGAGAGACGCCCTAGAAGGCAAGTGGCCACCAAGTTTGGTTCCCTTTGCAACCTGCAGGAAAAGTCCCTTTCAGTACCTTCGGGCAGGAGGCAGAGGATGGGGAAGGGGACAGGTAGAGAGACAGAGGGTCAGGACAGGGCGAGAAAAGTTGTGGCTGCGGGTTCCCTGGTCCCCGCTCGCGCCTTGGGCTCCCCGTCTTCCCTCTCGCAGCCGGCGCGAGCGGCCGAGCCCCGGGAACCCGGGCTTATATGGGACGGTCCTCTCCCGCCCCCCACGAGGCCCCGGGCGCCCGGGAGGAGGGACCCACCCGTCCCACCCCTCCGCCCCCCGCCGACGCCGACCGCGCGACGATTGGCTGGGGCTGGGGGTGACGTCACGGGGGACTGTGGGTTCGCCTCGAACAAAAGAGATGCTGATCGTCCGCCAGGATTTGGGGCAAGAGAACTTTTTTTCGGTTTCCTTTGCAGTCGTCAAACTTTTTTTGGCGGTGGCGGTGGGGGATGGGAAGCAGTTGTAAAGGGATAGACTGAGAGGAAAGGGAGGGGTGGAGTTGTGTGGAGCGAAGGGGTTGCAAGTTTTCTATCACTTTTCTTTTTTTATGGGGGTGGGGGGTTGTTTAAGGACATTGCGTCACCTCTGGGGAGAAAAAAAAATCTCTGCTTACTGGAGTGTATTTTGGGGGGAGGGAAAACCATAAAATAGCCACCACCTTACAGCTGCAGGAATCCAGACTTGCAGTTACAGGGCGGGGCTGGCTTTTCCCCTGGTCCCTTTCTTTGCTCTAAAGCGAACTGACTTGTCGTTTACTTTCTTTGCTTTCGGAACTTCCTGAGCAAACTTCTCTCCTTCCCAAACTCCGTACCTGCGGTAATCTGCGGGCGCTCTAGCTGGGGAAGGCGCACGAAGGGGTTAAGAGCGATCCTTTATTGAGCCTCTCTTTAGAACCAGGAGTTCTGCGGGGCGCTTTGCGGATCTCGAGGAAATTCGGAAAACGGGATTTCTTTTGAAAGGGCAATGCAGCGATGTGTTTTTTAAATATGCAAGAATACGTTCTTGCTAAATTGAAATGGGCTGCCCATTTCCACTGACGGGGAAATTAGCTTAGCAGAGGACCTGGAAGTGGTGTTGGAAAGTTGGACTGGCTATGGGGAGAGAAAGACCGTGTTCCTTCCCGTGTTCACCGTGCCTTTACACACAAAGCAGAGATTTTGTTCGAATAACCAAGAGCTGAGGAAAGGCCCCTTGCAGACTTGCTTTCTCACAATTTCTTCCAAATGTATTTATTTGGCATTCCCTTTTTGCACACAGTTTCATCACAGAATTCCTTCTCCAATCCCTCCCCCTCCCCGCCAGCTTTTTTTAATATTTCGATTGTTATCTACCCCCAAGAACTTGGAATGTTCCCATTTAAGATTCCCCTGAAAAGGGAATCTGAGACGTGTATAGCATGCAACAACTGATTACATCAGTCTTTTTTTTCAGGCAAAGGCAAGTCTAACTTGCTTTAAAAAATCTTCAAAAGGAGAAGTCTGCAAACTTCTTCCATTAACTCCTGAGAGACCCAAACTCAAAGCTCTGTCTCCTTGTTTTGTTAGGAATTCAGTCATTCTAGAGGCTTTCAGAATTTAGGAAATCTACTAGTAAAGTATGTTTATTTCCACAAAGTATTTGTTTTCTTCAAAAGTTCTGTCTTCATCAACTGCTAGGAGGTAATTTGGAGACTTTTCTTGTTGAGTTGATAGGTGTTGAGGAGTCACCTGGCGCTACGCCCGCCTCAGTAAAATACCCAAGACATTAAAGATGCAAAACTAATATTTGTTTTTATTGATGCAAAGAGTTAAACACACATAAGCACACCACAGCAAATATCAGTTTCCTACAAGTAGCTTTAAATAACCTCTTGAGGGTTCTTTGTGACCAATATTTCAAGTTGAGAGAGTCCTGTGGGTTTCCCCAAATTTAGAATCTTATGTGGGGTAGAGTTTTTTTTGAATTTTTCATCATCACTTGACAAAATGGTTTTCTCTTTCAAATATAAAAAGGCTCCTTGTAAAATACTTAGCAAATTTCTGGGAAGCTGGGTGTACCTTCCAGAGGGAAAGATACCTGGAAATCAGGGTATAAGGAAGATAAACCTGAAGCCAAAACTTTTCTTAAAATACATAGATGCTGAAGGAAGGAACTATGTGGTTAGAAAAGTATTTTGTTAATCAAAAGCATGGTAGTTTGATATGTTTGCTGTACTCAAAATACATTAGAATAATATACATATGAGAACTTTGAAGGAACTTTTGTGCATTTTAATTCCACTGAAATACAGTTGTTGTTTTTTTTAAAGAATGCCTGTTATGTATCACAAGCAAAAGTATAATGATATTTGACTGTTTTAGATATTTGACTGTTTTATAGGAATGCTTGGGTGTGTTTCCCTTTTCTTTGAAAGTTGTTCTTGTTTTTCTTTAACTCTGGAGATGGAGACATTTTCTTAGTTAAGATAACTGATAACTATGTAAGTATTATCTTTAACTGGAGAGATAATTAAATCTTAAAGACCGCATGGACTATGTGTCCAAGATTCCTCTGGATTCCTTTAGGAATTTTATTTTGACAGGGTGGTTTTTCCATAGTAAATAACACCCTTCTACTTGTAGGAAATATTCTTGGATTATTTTTCTTATCTCAATTTAGAAGGAGAAATGTGACACACAAAAAGGCAAGTCTATACAGACAGAAAGTCCAATCAGGAGCTGAGGGTGGAAACAAGGAATCTTCTTCAGGTGCTGAGAAATGTTTTAAAGGTAGAGTGTGATGATGACTGAGCTACCCATTAGCTGCGGGGTGTGGGAGGGAGAGAAAACGTCACTTAAATTGTATATTTAAATGGATAATTTTCATAATATTAAATTTTACCTCAATAAAATGGCTTTATAAAGTTCATTTAAAGTGTTGTTGTTAAATGCGGTCTTCTGACTCATAGCAACGCTGTATAGGGTTTTCGAGGAACAGCTGGTGAATTTGAACTGCCAACTTTGTTGTTCTAAGTCCAGTGCTGATCCTACAGCATCACACCAGGAGTGCCATTTAAAAAGTGGTGGTGGTGGTTATGTGCCATGGAGTCAGTTCCGACCCATAGCGACCCTGTTCAGGGTTTCTGAGGCTGTAAATCTTTACGGGAGCAGAAAGCCTCATCTTTCTCCCGTGGAATGGCTGCTGGTTTCGAACTGCTGACCTTGCAGTTTGCAGTCCGATTCGTAGCCACTACGCTACCAGAGCTCCTTATTTAAAAAGTAGTATTTCATTATTCTCTTTTATTTTTACTACTTCTTTATTTTGTTCACACAAACACTCCCAAATGTTGCCAGTACACACCAGAAATCCCTGTCTCTTCATTTTTCTAAAAGGAAGTTTGCCTTTTATCTGATAGATGCTTTTCTGTTCACCAGTCCTTATGAAGTCCAGCATCTGTGTGAGGACATGCATGTGGGAGACACAGAAAAAAAATCATTTCATTTAGGTCTATGTTGTGTTTCTTTTTGGAACTGCCACAATGATAGGATTTTCTTAGAGCTTCAAATAACTTAATTTGTCAGTAACAAAAAACCAGCATGTAGATTTGTGTGTGGGCGTGTGTTGGTGGTGGGGATGTTATTTAAATCATTTGTTATTGGACAAGGTTAATGAAGAGTATGAACAGTTATGGAAATCTGACTTGTACTGACTTTGAGTTGATGATTATTGCTAAGCACTCAGAGAATTGACCAAATTCAGCCATTTAGAAAAAATTACAATTAAAATAATTCAAGGTATGCTTTTTAAAAGACTTTTTTTTTTTTTTTCTCAAATTGAAAATGTATTTCCTTTAAGATTAATAAACACATTATGGAAAACCTTCCTGCTAGCTAAATCCTTTGCCAGTTGAAAAAACAAAACAAAAAAACCCTCTTATCTTTGATAAGAAATAGCTTCTTGACTCCAAAGGTTACATTTAGACAAAGGTAAGCTGTTCTCCCTGAAAACCTTTGAGTTTTTTCCTGATCTTAATCTCTTTTAGTCTTAGAGTCAGGCCATTGACCAAGTGACCTCTGGAGTTTTCCTTTAGCTGAAAAGTTCTGTAGTAACTCTTTCGTGTGCTATAGGAAGGCTGGATGGAGATGAATTACAATAGTTTTTGTTTCTTACTTTAAAACAAAACAGAAAACCTGAAATCGTCCTTGCCTTTTTCTGTGGAAATGACCAAGCATGCAAAACTGCTACTCATTAAGTCCAGGTGTGAGAAGGAGAAATAAACTGTCTCATGGATAGAATGTCTGAGCAGTTTGTCTAGAATTGATAGGGCTCCCGCCACCAGGGAGAAAATCCTTGATAAGGGCACTCATTAAATTATGCATTGAAAGCCAGCCAGTTTTCACCTAATAAGCATTTTGTTTATATTTTAAGTTACTGTATTTTTAATCAGCACTTTTAAAAGTCTTAGTCTATGCCTTCTGCTTCATAAGAGGCAGCCTCTTTTCTCATTAGAGTGATGGAACTCCCAAAAGGCTTTGCAAAGGAGGTTAATTCATCCAATAAATCGGAACCAACTACTGGGTTGCTGGAATACTGAGTCAAAACTGTGTTATAATGCTTGTCAGTTTTCCAAGACAGGCAGCAATTTCTTGGAAAATTTTTATTTTGTATGTGTTCTTGCTTCTTTTTCCAATTTTGCTTTATTTTGTGTTGGTAGCATTAAAGGTTTATTTTGAAAGGTTGAATTAAAAAAAAAAAGATTTTCAGTATTTAGGTTCTTTTTCTATCCTTTTTACTTCCACTTATTTCAAGCATTGTTTCTCATCTGCAGCTAATCATGAAGGTTGAGTCAGATGACTAAAAAAAAAAAAAAACAAGAACTGAAAAACATTCTCTTTTAAACAAACTTTTATCGATTACTATGATTTCGGTGTTGAATCAGGCTATTTGTAGATAATTCATTGGTGAATTACAATGAATTAAGGACACAGCCAACTGAATTATAAAAATGAATGTAGAAACACTATCATACTTAAGTGTACACTGAATCATTTTC